AGAGCTCCATCCCTTCTGAACGCTGAGAAGGATGCATAGAGAGGACTGATATTTCAGTGGGTTCCAAATACTAAGACACAGCACCAGAAATCAGGATGGAGGGGGCTGTAGTTTTCATGGTCCCTCTTCATGCGAGCAGGGATACATTAAGGTTTACTGGACCGGAAGACCAGCTGGACTGAAAGGGAGGTGTTGGCATGGACTAAACGGGACCATAAGAACTCAGCAAGCTGGGCAGTGTCCTGAGAAGCCCTCCAGGCAAGCAGAGAACCCCTGTAATAATCAGGCACTGAGGCAGACATCCAGTAAATTGGGCAGCATATGTAGTACAAGTAATAAGAAGGCACCTTTTTGAGGCACAACGACCCTCAGGAGTCTCAAGAAACAGGATGGATACCAGGATTATGGCTGTGCACATGGTTTGAGATCACACCTACTTGGTGGGGATTGGGTTTCTAACACATGTTCAGTCTTATTTCAAGAACTGGCTAGACTGAGTCATTAAGAAACAGAGCCTATTTATTTGCTAAAGCCTTCTGCAGATTATGAATAATAAACTCAGTACATCTATAACCATGCTGATTCTTCTTGTCCATCTTTTGTTGAACAATTATGTCTTATTCACTTTTGTTTTCCCCATGGTACCTAGATAAATGCTTGCCTATTTTGAGTTCTTAGTAAATGTATGGTGGTGTTCTCTCTTTGAAACTAAGATGGGGAAGAATATTGTTTTAGCAGCTCGTAACGGATCCTGTTAGAGAGAGTGATAACTGTATTAGGCAAAGGTTTGTTGGTAGATTTAGAGGAGGAAAGTAAGACTTCTTCATCAAGGACATAGTGAAAAAAAATAAAATGAAGATCTGTAATGCACAAGCAATTAATAGACATTGGGTGCCAGGTTAGAGCCTGAGGAAAAAGAGAAAGAGCTGAGGAAAGAGGTAGGTGTCTGTGAAGCAAAGAGGAAGTAAGATCAACCAATGAGACATTCCCAGTGGTGGGGGACTTCAACAACAGGGATGCTTAATATTTAGTTCTGAGTTGTTGATGTTATTGGGAATCTTGTCTGTTTCTCTGAATCCTCAGGCTTTGTGTTTGTGATGTTTTGGGTATGATGGAATTCGAGTGGCGTCCATAATGAAGCAATGATGGAAAAGCAATGCACTCTTGGGACACTATGATGAACTCAAATGAACTTAACTCAGAAGCAGCAGGAATGGGAATCCCCATTTGAGCAGGTAAAGCATCAGTTCTGATTATTCACTCTAGTAAAATTCCTGGAGAGTCTGGGAGGGACCTAGGTCTCCCTCTGCTTGTGGGGAGGGAAATCGATCTGTTTAATGTCAGTCTGAAGGATTTGTTGATTTTGAAAGACTTCCCAGTTCCAGACCATAAGAGCAAAAAGAAATTCTCTACATATCTTATCTTCCTATTTTGTAATTCAATATGTATCTGACATTAAAATAATATATACCCAGATCTTTAAGAATTTGATCACTATAAAAACACATTTATAATCCTTCAAAATGATGAATTCCTTAAATTAGCATCCTACTGTGTACTTTTAGGTCCTAGAAGTATGTTTTTTAAGACTCTGTGGGTAGGGAGCTAGAATTCAACACTGAAGAATTACAGTGGATATATAGAACTCTGTCCCTTGACCTTCTTACTAAAGCTTTTAATAAAGTCTCCTTCAGTATTGTCTTTCGATATTGAGAAATCCTTCTTTCTAAATGACTCCTTGTATAATACTGACCGTTAAAGCTTAGCATCAATTGTTCTCACACTATTTTTTTGATTTTAACAAGTCTGTAAGTACTTTTATTATATCCATATACACACGAGAAAAGTGATGCTCACGAATTGATATTTATGGAGTTTAAACTCGTATGTGTTGGAACCAGCACCAAACTCACGTCTGACTATAAGACCTAAAAAACAGGAGGTTCTGGTAAATGCGGGAGCCATAGTATTCTGTGCCAAAAATTCTTTCCCTAAAACTTTCTACACAACACTGTGCCTTTTATATGCCAAGGTGGGCCTTGCTTAAGCCTTTTAAGAAAAATATGGAAATAGTAGAGTCTTTATTACTAACGATGCTGGCACCTGACAATGTCATAACATGAATTATACAATAAAACAAGGTAATTACGCCAAAATGATTAATCAGAACTACTAAGAAACATATAATATTATTATCATATATTAAAAATTCACCCTACACACATGTATAATTCTAGACTCAGAAGTATACCAGCCAGACTCACTCCTTGAGTATAAAATAGAAACAAGTTTTCTCTGCATCTCTCTCACTTTCTCTTCCTAGACAGCAATAATAATAATGCTAATTTAAACATTATTAGACTGTGCAGCCTGCACAGATTTTCATATCTGAGTCTAATTTTATTACAACAGCGACACTGTGAAGTAGGGAATAGAGGTGTAAATATCTTATTTTAAAGATGAAAAAGTGTTAGGCATAGAAAGTGTCATTGGCTTGCTTAATTTCACACTACCCATTGGGGCGTCATGAGGCTGCAATCCACATTTTATAATCTGCTTTAAATTGCTGTGGAGCAACAGAGAAGAATATCACTTTCAGCTTAAACAAGCCCATTATCAAGTTAAACGGATGCCTGGTATTGTGTCCCACTGGTCCCTCAAGCCTGCAGTTAACCAGCTTTTCTTCTACCACCATCATCATTGGATAGTACTTCCCCTTCCACGGCTTTACAGTGGTTCCCAGATGCCTCTTAAATCCAATTTAAAACTCCTGAGTTGGAGTTTTTGTTCTTCTACCCATTTGTTTGTTTTCAGCTCCTAGCGTTCTACTCAGATTGTTGAAGTTTTGTTTTTTCATGGCCCTGCTTATAAAAATCTCCTCTTTGCCAAACCACATTCTTCTCCTTGAGATCATAACCACTTCCCAAGAAAGGCCTAAGTTTCTTCCTTTTTCTTGTTTCCTACTTCTCTATGACTTTCCTCAGCCTGGCTGGGATGACCGTGTGCTGTGTTAGATGCTGGCCTAACGAGTGAGTGGTTTGGATTAAGACCTTGGCAGGCATTCTTAGGACTGACCAGTTTTAGTCGAACACCTTTTAAATTAAACCCCAGGCCTTTTCTGGAGTGAGAGGGGAAGGTAAAGAACCAGTGGAGAGAGGAGAGAGCTGATGTCAAGAAAGAAAACTATTCAGTGAGGGGACTGAAACTTTGGAAGGCAGAGGGAAGTAGATTCATCTGGGGAGTGTTTCTGCCAATGCTTCTTGATCTGAGATTTCTGCCAATGCTTCTTGATCTGAGATTTCTGCTATGGCTCCATTTAGGATCAGTCTCCGTGAAAATTCCTCTTTCTCTCTCTTTCTTTCTCTGAACTCCTATGGATGCCTAGAGCTGGCTGTCTACACCGGGCAAGGCAAGTACGCCCAGGCAGCCTTGGAAATGCCCCCCTTATTGTGTTTTATGTTTTCAGTTTACAAGATCATTCCTTCACTAAATTAGACTAAGCTGATTCACACAGCATTTCTCCCTCCCTAAACATCTGAGTAAATTAAAAGTTCTAGATACACAATAAACTTTCTAATTTACTAACACTATCACATTTTTAACCCTAATGAAGCTATGTTGTGTGGGGGTCTCAGAGTCACGTCCAAATGGAAAGGATACAGTCTAGAAAAGAGAGCAACTTCAAAATCATTCAGTTTCTTTACTTGTATTAATACCATCAAATGTGGAAGGGCTAGTAAATATCAGGGGTACTTGAAAATGAATAACTTCTGTCCTGTCTGTAATTCTTGTTGACATCTGGTCCTCACAAGCACCCTGAGTTAGGTAAGGCACATATGATCATTCCCATTATATGTGCCAGGATTTGAGGATTAGAGGTTAAGTGATTTCTCTAAATAACGTGCAGCCAGCGAGAGGCAGAGCCAGAACAGAAATATGGATCTTCCCCCTCTTGTCCAGTCCACTGAGCACATCATATGACTTCCTACAAAAATTAGCTTTTCATGAAATGACAAAAATGAAATGCCTTGTTTGTGGAGAAAGCACTTGGCAAATAATAATGAATTGTTTAAGTTTTTAATCTCTGCAAGCAGAGCATAATCCACAGAGAATCTTATGCATTTATACTTTATCTTAATGTGATGATTTTTCTCATGTTAATGATTAAAAGATAACATTGTAATTCTATTTTTAAATGAAAAATACAACAAATGGTGTTCTAGCATAGGAAATGTTTCTTCATTGTCTCTATGTAAACGTAAGTCAAGTTTACAGGTGGAGATCTCCCCCAGTTACAATTTGAGCACACAGCCACTGGTAGGAAATTTTTACATGATATATTTGTTCCCTTAAATTTCTTCAGTCTCTTACTACCCGTGTAGAATGAAACTCTGTTTTTAATTAGGAAGTCAATGTTAGAATTTGAATATTAAGATAAAAATAATTATCTAATATTACTATAGTCCAAAGAGCCTTTCTTTCCAATTAATTTGTTATCTCATTCCTTTAGCATAAGATGTTTAAAAGTATCACAAACCGACCTAACTTTTAATTCAAAATTTTCGGCATAAAATGAAGTGATGATTAGCAAATTTGCTATTCCTAGGATCTCTCCCTTCCTTCCTTTCTTGCTTGCTTCCTTCCTTCCCTCCTTTCTTTTTTTTTTATTCTGAGCGCTCTCAGGTCATCGCATTTATCCCCTAACCGTTCTGGCAGCTGACTTGGATATATGACATATTAAGTCTCTTAGTCAGCAGGCCCTAACTTCTCTAATGGGCCCTCATTCAGAATAACAGCTGTGTTTTCACTTTATTCTGCCATTGAACCTTTAGAGTGGGACAATTTTATGTAATTTAACAAAAGAAAATAAATGAGCAATTTATGTCATTAATTTTTCAATCTTTGTAAAGAAATGATATAAGCATAAAGCATCAAAGATTTTTTTTAAAAAATTCAAATGTTTTACAGGTTTGATTGAACTTCTTAAGATGATTAACAAAGGTATTTCAGTCTTTTTTTTCTCCCTAACCTAAAATTACTCTAGGCATGTAAAATCAACCAAATAGATTACAAAGAAGACAAAAATGACAAAAATTGTAATCTTGTGGTGAAGATATTAATTGGAGTCAATGATCGAAATGTCTTTCCATGATCATTGGCTTTTGTAATCCAGAAGTCTTAAACTTCAACATTTTCATTTCAATATATAAGTTATTATGTTAGAAAATTCCATTTAAAAACCTAGAGAAGTTAAAATGGTTCAAATACAGACATATAGTAAGTATTCAATATGTTTATCCAGTGATTTTTAAATATTCCTTTTCCTTAGACAATACTCATTAAACTGATTTTAATGGAGCAAAGTCATAAAAATCATTTTGCAACGATTTCATAAATGTGAATGAAAATATGATATGTTCGTTATACAATGCAAGCCACTCCAGCATCTTCAGCATGTGAACAGACTCTCACACCCCATTGTCTAATTTTACACTGTTCGATAGATGATTCTCTCCCAAAACAAAATACTTCATTCAGCCATATTGGACCAGTACCTGCAAAAATCAGATACGTCTGCATTAGTAAGTATAGTTTAGTGCTTATGTTTGAGTGGGACATAAATTTATTCACTAATTATGAATAATTAGTGAATTTCATTAATGGAAATTAATTCCATTAATTTATTCACTAATTTAACAAAAATGTGTTGATCATTATCTGTATACAAATTCTATGCTCTCCATTAAGATTCAAGAATGAATCCCCTGCCCTAGAAAACCTTATATTCTGTCAATGTGCAAACTACTAAAATACAAAGTAATGAGAGCTATAACGAAGGTACATATACAGTTCTACAAAATCATAGGTTAAAGGATGATGGGTTTTCTCTAAGGATTTAACATATTAGTTTTATTTTTAAACATAAAGAAGGAAATAAGCTCTAATAATAATGGATATACGCAATGACCCAGTGATCTGAGTATCTGCCTGAGGCGTGTCTGGAACGTAAGGTATCCTGGAGTCTTAGCTCCCAGTGTATTTCAGTTTACATGTGGCTGGCTTACCAAATATATTATCTATTTTTAATTAAACTAAGACTAATACAATCAGCAAAGGGCTTACAAACTATCCTGCAAGAAGACTGTGGATTATTAATTGCAAGCACGAGCAAACAACAAGAAAAGGCAGAGCTAATACGTAATGCTCTTCCTCAGACGCACTAGAAGGAAAAACACCAGCTGTCCGGAGTGGGCTACCTATAATTAACTAAATAAACAAGCTTAACTGCCACTTTCAAGATAAGAAGGTTATTTTATCAATGCGTAAGAAAACAACTGCTTTATTTGAACAGAACTCATGGCAAGAAAAGATAACTTTAAAAATGAATGTTTGGAAAAAAGCTTTTCTGATATTCTCTGAAGATTTTCTAACGGTATCACATACAAAAGTTCTCCTGTCTGTTACACTTAAGACATTTGGTAACAGAGCCTTTGAAAACCTTCTAAATGAATGATTTTGTTGGGTTTTGTTAAACATATAATATTGCAAACATCCTAATGAGTTTTCAAGAGCATTTCATGCTATCAAAAAACTGATAATTTAGCAGCTAAATTTTAACAAACACCTTTGCAAAACTAGGGGATGGTAAATAAATATATTAATACTGTATGCATAATCAAAAATGCATTTTTTCCATTTGGATCAAAATGATGTTGTAAAGTTCTCCTTCAGTCACAAGAGCTATATAAAGCATATTTAGAAATAAATTCAAATTAAGAAACAGATATTTGTGTAGCTATAAAACAGTAAAAAAAAAGTTAAATGAAGACTGGTTTTTCTAAGAGGCATAGATAATGGCACATATAGTGACATTACTCTTACATTTTTCATGTATTTTGTGAGCTCAATAAATAAAAATTGACAATATGTACATGGTTAATAATGTACATAATTTGTATAGTAGTATGTGCATATAATATATGAATAAATTAGCAGATATTGGGGATTTTGTAATCAAAATGTGGGTGACACATGACCTAACCTTAAAAAATGGATAGAGGTTTTCCATTTATAAAAAAAAGTCATTCCAAGGGGCCCACCCAGTGGTGTAGCAGTTAAGTTTGTGCTCTCTGCTTCGGCGGCCCAAGGTTCTCTGGTTCGGATCCCGGGCAGGGACCTACACACTGCTCATCAAGCCATGCTGAGGCAGCGTCCCGAATAGAACAGCTAGAAGGATATATAACTATGACATACAACTATCTACTGGGGTTTTGGGGAGAAAAAAGCAAAAAAGGAGGAAGATTGGCAACAGATGTTAGCTCAGAGCCAATCTTTCTCAAAGAAAAAAAAAATAACATAAATAAAAAAAGTCATTTCATATGGTGGGGGCAGCATGCAAATGCTTGCTGTATTAGAACAGTTAACAGTCTCCTGGCATCTAAAACACAAAGTGTATTAATGAGGGGAAGAGGACTCCTTGGGAAGATTGGATAGAAAGCTGGGGCCATGCTTTATAAATTTTTGAATTTTATATTGTGAGTCACCAAACAAATGATTTCATCAGAACTACATTTTAGAATTGTATGTCTGGCAGAAATGTGGAAGTTGGATTGAAGAAGAAAAAATCTGTAAGCCAAAATGACAGTTAATAGCAGGTCTATATGGACATTATTTTGAAGACTCATATTTTTATTTACTCTTAGAATTAGACAAGAAACTTTGATTTCCACGTATCAAATAAATTGGTAATTCACTTAATTTTTAAATAATGTATGACTTCACTAGAAAAATGCAAGACAAAATTATATTTAGCTTTACATTATCAAGATAATTAGGAACATTGTATTTTGCGTTTCCTATAATAGTAATTAAATCATTAGAATCCTAACAATGTTTCTATTAGAAAGGCAAAGGGTTTCCTGGACTGATCAATTACAAGAGCAGTAACCTGGAGAGCTCAAGTGTTTTTTGAAATGTTTATACAGTATTGGACCTTTTCGACTTGAAATTTTAAGGCAGATAAAAAGGAAAAGATTAGGGAGAATATGATCTCAAAATTGGAAACCTTGCCAGGAACACTTTTTGGTTCCCAAATTGCTCTGACTGGGTATAGCACTCTCCCTTTTGTGTTTGTGAGTGTTTCTATGTGTGAGCATGTTTGCATTATGAGGAGTTCTTTTTAAATATATCAAGTCTATACAAACTTTTTGGAAGCCCCAAAGGGCTACTCAAAAATATAGGCGAGGGGCTGGCCCAGTGGAATAGTGGTTAAGTTCGCGTGCTCCACTTCAGTGGCCCAGAGTTCACCAGTTTGAATCCCGGGCACGGACATACACACTGCTCATGAAGCCATACTCTGGCAGCGTCCCACATACAAAATAGAGGAAGATGGGCACAGATGTCAGCTCAGGGCCAATCTTCTTCACCAAAAAATAAATATATATTTTTATATATATACACACACACACATAGGCAGATAATAATAAACACACAAATAGTAAAACTACTCTCGTGGTAACATGAAAGGGAGCCAAAACAGTGGGACATTTACAAATTGTATTTATTACATTTATGGACATTTATAAATTGTATAAATAAACACAAGTAAAACTTTTGCGGAAAGCTGTGGCTCTGTCATAACTGGGAGTGTAAAGCTCCATGGCCTCTGTAGCCAGGGTGCTGGGATGCAAACACTCTACAATTTGTAGATCTAGTCACTGGATTTAGATCTCAGCAGTGCAGAATTTTTACAATCCAGGGAAAGAGAATGAAGAATGAGAATCCTCCCAATGGCTGCAGCTCTAGTAGGGCCATCCCCACAGGGGCAGCACAAGATAGATATTATTTAGTCAATTAATGTGCTGACATGTGAGCACAAGTGTTTAGAAACCACAGTATAGGAATTCATGAATGTTAGAATACCAAAGCTGTAGCAACCATAATGAATATTTAAGCCCAATCTTTGAAGAATTTACTATGTGGCTGGAAACATTCAAAGTACTTTTGATCTGTTATCTCATTGAATCTTCAAACAATCTTAAAAAGTTAAGTGCTTTTATAATGCCATTTACAGTTGAGGAAAGTGAAAATCAGAGAGAGTAACTTTGCCCAAGGTCACGTAGCGAATGCGGGATGGAGCGGACCTGTCCACCCTTTGTCTGCCTACAGCCAGTGCCTTTAATCAACGATTTACTGCAATCCCCTGCATTATTAGATTCAGCCATACAACAACTCTGTTTTGAGTGCCTACATGAGTGAACAAAATCAGAATCTATTCCCTATTCCCTCTTGGAGTGACCTCATGGTGAGAGCATATGTTTTATGTAAATGGAGTAACTGAGGTCACATATATAATTAGGGACAGACCTGATATTTACGTCTAGAACCCCTAGCTCCTAGTCCAGTGCTTTTCCCACCAAGAACACATGGGTGTAATAAATGTATTGTGCCCTTAAGTCACTCTGGTCTTTTGCTATGTGGAAAAGATTGACACAGTGAATCTGGTAGGTCTTCACATATGATTTTTAAAATTTACTTCTTATAATAACCTGTGAAATAATGGCAATTATCTCCATTTCATAAGTAAATAAATTGAGACTCAGAAAGGATGTATGACTTTCTCAAAATAACAGAGAAGAGAGCCAAGCCACAAAACATGATGACATTTCAAAGTTGGTGCTATTCACTGACTACATAGAAGCCCAATAGAGTTATAAAAATAATTTTCAAAGATTTGTTTTTTATTTTTATATGAATATATTCAGAACTATTGAGCCTAAGGGGAAAATTTATTTAATACTCATTTCCCATCTCCTTCCAAGGACATGTTCCAATGTTTTCTGCATTAAAAATTAATGCAAAGGTAGCATAAAATTCATAAAATTTCATCTTCATGTAAACCTCAAAGATTAAAAAACAAATTTGTTTTTATTTCTGTGGGTAATAACTGTTACTCAAGGATTTTTGGTGTTGCTGCTGTCATTGTTATTTTTTGCCTCTGAACTATTCTTTCTACTAGTGGAAACATGCAAAATTGATGTCTATATTTTAGATATGTTTATTTTCTAATCCTATCAGTTTATCATCTTTCTATCTACCTAACCATTTATATACATCTACAATTTCCTTTACAATTTGAGGGCTGTAGGGAGGACAAATTGACCAATTTTGTGTTTCCAAAAGCAGACAATGATAACTGTATTGTCCATGGCTTCTGGAATTTTATGAGCTTGCTTTGTGATGCTTGAGAGTATGCTTGACAGATGATACCATTTCCTCTTAATCTCTCTTAGAAAAAAGGCAGATATTGGGGCCGGCCCCGTGGCTTAGCAGTTAAGTGCTCGTGTTCCGCTACTGGCAGCCTGGGTTCGGATCCGGGCGCGCACCAACATACCGCTTGTCCGGCCATGCTGAGGCGGCGTCCCGCATACAGCAACTAGAAGGATGTGCACCTATGACATACAACTATCTACTGGGGCTTTGGGGAGAAAAAGTGAAAAAAAAGGAGGATTGGCAATAGATGTTAGCTCAAGGCGGGTCTTCCTCAGCAAAAAGA